GATATTAAGGAAGAGAATGATTCAAGATCAGGTAAGGAATGAAGAATACGAAGACTTTTTCTGAGTGAAGTGCAAGAATATCAAAAGGATATGAAGAGAGAAGTACAGAAATAGTACTAAAATATGGCGAAATAGCATTACCATATCGTACGGACGGTTTATTTGGTGAGATAGATTAATGATTAATTATTAATATCAAAGAAAACAGAACAGCAAAATAATCCTCGGATCATGCCCTACACAACCGTGTACCTCACTCATAGGCTTCCGGATTTAAGGATCAGATAGGATACCACAAACACCTACCAAAATAGTAACTTTTTCTGTCGTTGAGTCAGAGATTGCTTGCTAGGCTAATACGTACTTACATTCTAAAGAGTTATCAGATTAAAATTTAACGTCCTTAAAGAAACGTATTTTTCAAGTGAATAATTGCATAGCATGATATTTACTGTTAAACTGTCCTCATTATAGAGGAGAAAGTGCAAGATATATAATGCAGAAAAAAAAGAACAAAATCGCTGATTATTTTCAAACCGTTCAGACTTTAACCTGGAAACTCATATGAAATGAAACGTAAATATTCATACACTGTAATCTTAAATGAAATTATTGATTGGAATAATGATAAGATGTTTATCACTAATAGGTGTTCAATTATTATTTTATCTCTGACACTGATATCATGGAAAATATAATTTATAATTCAAACAATTCGGACGCATATAGGATTAATGCTGAACAATAAATAAGTAATTTATTATTATTACTAGTAGTAGTATCTATATAAATATAATAGTACTGTCTGTTGTCCGTTGTATGTCCATGTAACTACTTCGCAGGGTGTGGATGGTTTGTTCGTTTTGTTTGTTTTTGAATTTCGAACCCGCTGACCCTCAGATTGCAAGTCGAACGCCCTGACATGCCGGTTCATGGTGTGGATGGACCTTCACCCAAATTGGTATAGAGGTTCATTTTGTCCATATGGGGGTACATACAAATTGTCAATTTTGCGTTTTGTGGTTTGTATGGACGTTTAATACCACTACTTCTCCCCATGTGATGGATCTTCACCAAATTTGGTATGAAGGGTCATTAGTTCCATGCGGAGATACATTCAAAGTTGCAGTTTCACATTTTGTGTTTTGGAGTTTTTATGGGATTTTTGCATTTTTATAATGAAATTCAATAACATGCGTCTAGGGGACGGGTATTCCAGCTAGTTGTTAATATTCAAGCATAATATATAACCTGATAAATAAATCTAGTGTAGCCACATGTAATTATATTTTCTTTCAATTAGCTTATTTAATAATTGTTTATTTGTAATTAAGCACAAAGCTACACAATGGGCTATTTGTGCTCTGCCCACCACGGGTATCGAAACCCGGATTCCAGCGTTGTAAGTCCACAGATATACCGCTGTGTCACTGTTTAATAAGATAATATTTTTAAGTGTTTAATCAAACTTTTATTTGAAAAGTTGATTAAACTTGTTGAAATGTTGAATAAAACTGAAGAAAGGGTTAAATAAACTTTTTTTAAATGTTGACTGAATTTTTATTTTTGAGTATTGAATAAAACTTCTTGAATCGTTGAGTAAACGTTTTGAAATGATGAATAAAACTTCTTAAGATATGAACACAAAACCTTCTCCACTGTCTAACTAATCCTTATATATATTTTTTTTAAAACATAGAAACATTTCATTACAAATTTTCTTAATTACCTTGCCTCAGAGGGTTAAATTCAAGAAGAATGAAAAACACAGTGAAATCTTAGTTTTCTTAATTGGCTGATTTTAGACGAGATCTAAAAGTAAAAACCTTATTAAATCAAATAATTTTTCATTTGTTTGTCGCAGTGTAGGATAAAATGAAATTCAATTTATTGTGCATTTTTAGCTGTCCAAACAACCAAAGATTATCAAAATTATATTAGGCCTAGGGTATTTTCATAAAATCTAGTTACGAATCGATCTCTGGCCGAATATTGTTTATTGTTCATATCAAGAAATATACGAACTACTACGTCATCTTCTGACCTGTTGATACATGGCTGTATGAAATAGGTTGTATCCAATTGAACAAGACAGTATCAGCTTCTATAAATGTCCAAAATGTTAGACATGGACGACACATAACCGAGATAAGAGCCTGTCAACACTCAAACTTAAACTGGAACTTGCATTATCAAGCAAAATAATATCCGTACAAACAACATATGAAGTCTTGCAAGATTACTCGTGGGATTACATTCGTATCAGTTTTGCCCATCTTTTCTTACAATCAGGACAAGTAAGGAAAAGGGTGAGCAATGAGCTTCCTTATTTAGGATAAGGATATGTTTTCCCTTTTTATTCGTAGCACTGCTTCAGTAACTTCACAGAATAACAAAAATAACACATCGACTGTAGTATGAGTTATCATGTGGCATAGCTATATTTCGTACAGATTGCAGTTACTCCAAATTACATAGTTTTTTTTAAGCGCTAAAATGTAATATACAAAGTAGAAAATGCACCCATGCAAGTTAATTTTATTATTTCTCCACCAGGACTTGCACCGACAGGATTGGTAGAATATTTTTAAAATAGTAGTGTTTTATCTTATATATTGCACGTGCATGAAAAATAATTTATGCAGATTATTGATGTTTTTGTCAGGCAACAGTGTTTTGTGTAGATCAAATATATGAAGACACACGCGAAAAAAGGTTAGTATATTTCTATTCACAGTTGTTTTACGGTGATTAAGATAGAAGTCTTGATAAAGTAGTTGTTAGTATGAGCATTTGAAATGAACGTTTTATTACACTCAACTTAACTTTATTTAAAAAATTATACTCGAATCAGTCTTGTTGGAAAGTATAATTTTATATTGTAAACAAGGACAGTTTACAAAGCATAAATATAATGCCAGAAAAGAAGAATGTTTTGGTTTAATCCTCTACTGGCATTGAATTAATAAAACTAACGAAGGCCAAACTGTTGTAAAACACGTATAAAGTCAAATAAATTTATAAATCATCATAAGTGGCAGCATTGTTTTAAGATACAAACACACACTAAACTAGTTTAGAAGGAAATTTGAAAACAATTTAGTTCAGTATTTATTATGTTTGTTAATAGCATGTACAAACATGATTATATAATGTTTGTACATGCTATGAACAAACATGTTAACAACGACAAGGATATATCGTGGAGAATTTGTACAACGCACTAATGGTGTTTACATCTCAAGTAAACTTATTGTGTATTTCTTACATCAAGTTATAAATTTCTAGACGGTGAAACTCTCTGGGGTCAAAGTTTAACAGCAGTTGAGAACTAGTGATGGGAAACCAAACGTGTGAACCATTACAACATATATATTCTTCACTAGAGCAATAGCAATATTATCTATTCCCTTCATTACTCAACGTGTTATCCTAGAAACCTTTAGGCCAAACATAGACTGGATTCTGCATATCTTATTTCAAATCTTTTCTAAACATACATAAAGTCTGGTTAACTTATCTAGGTGTAACTGATTCTGAGATTCAAAAATATCTCGTTTCAAAGTTTACTTTTTCACTCAATAAAACTTGTTTTATGAAGCATTGAAGTTTTGTTTCATAATTGACTTTCGTTACGTTTGATATTGTATTACTTTCTATAAACATTTCTTGGTATACTATATATCGTTAAAATGACAGTTAAATATCTGTCAGGATGATGTGCTGAGGCGCTCTACCTCTTTTGTTGGTATACTGCAGTGGTAAAGATGTAAACACCTCCTGCATTCGCTTTGATCTTCAAGTTATAAATTACTTGCAAAATTAAATATGTGTCATACTGAAATATTATTGCGAGATTAAAAGTATTTGAGTATCGAAGAAGAGTTGTAACACTAGTGAACTGAAATTAGCTGGATAAAGGAAAAAAAGCTTGAAGCATTAATGAAAGACTTAAATTATTCGTACAATACAGTGGACCTTGAATAACTAGCGGAAAACCTATTAGAAACTAACATTCAAACAATACGTATAGTTTTTTTAAGTATTAACTGTTTGAAAGGACAAAGCTCTAGTGAAAGAATTTAAAGGTTAGAATTAGACATGGAACAGTGATAACAATAAGATCATAATTGATTAGATAATTGAAAAGGCATTCAGGCACTCTTAGAAGCCTGAAATGCAATATAAAAAGTTTAAATCATAAATGTATGATGACATAAATCGACAAGGCAAGATGCCTTAAATTGTTGGTGGAAGGTAAAAAATAATTGAATAATGAACGGGGCATTTAACCACCAGTAGAAAAAAAAAGGTAAAGTTTATTGGCCCAATATCAGGAGTCTTGGGCTACTACTTCAAGTATTAAAATGTTAATAGGTGGATTATATTTGAATCGCTATTATAAAATACATTTTTTCCTAAAACGCTGAAAAGTGGTGGAAGATTTAAAGTGTTCAAATATGGGAAATGTGTCTTGGAGTACCAACGGAAGAATAAAGGTATTCAGAAAGCTGAAAGGTAACTCAAGACCAGTTAAAACGAAAATTCTCAAATTATCTAAGCAGTGGGGGGGGGGGGTGTTAAGTAAAAATAGGAACCTCAAAGAATTCAGTAATAGAATAGCCCTTCTAGCATTGATGTGGCATTCAAAGTGTTCGGACAGTAGAAAGAACTTTGAAACATTGATGTCAGACTTAAAATATTCACGCTGTTGAACAGAAGAATTGTTTAGATAGTGCAAGAGTTTTAGTGACTTATTCAGATGGTAGAAAATCTCTTGAAATTTTAAAAGAATTCTGAACGTATAAATGCACTATGGAAAGTTCATGACATTTTGCTTCTATTAATTAAGTCAAAGCTTTTTACATTAGACCATTCATGCTTTTTTAAGTCACATAATTAAAGAGTATATTACTTACACTTGTTAGGTCGCTCGTAGTATGTGATCAAAAGAGTTAGTTCTTATTTTTACCACTAGGGTTTGACACTGTTCACGGTTTATGTGTGTCCTAAATACAACACGAGGAAGAGTTGTTTCCTCAGAGTACTTTGTGCAGACGCAGACGTCGTTACATCGTGTGTTAGGGGAGCTTCGTCTGGCGTACTAGATTCAAAGGTGTCTATCAATGTTCATAAACCTTTGTTGTGAGTTCACGTGATTTTGATCTGCCAGGTCATTGTGGCCTGCCTCCAAGTAACTAACTTGAGTGGCATGCGCCAAGATTGTTTCATCCAGTTTTTGAGTTGATAGTGCTTACGTCTTTTGGATTCTGTCACGATGTGGTGGATAATCACGTCTGTACTTCTTGCAGGGGTTACTGTAAAGAAAGCGTACTCTTTAAATACAGGTGAGTGCTCACACTAAACGTGCAACCTCTTTCACTAATACTCGTTCCCAGTTAGAAATGAGTAAAATTAATTTTAAAATAGATTAATTATTCAGGGAATTAATTATATGTTACACTTTTAGCTTTATATTTGTATACTTTATTCGTTAGTTATTGTTTTTTGCTTTTTTGGAGGGAGGGGCAAATATTGTGATTCGGATTACTTCTCAATATTTAGTTACCTATTAATAACATAATATTTTATATGTATTCTTAGTGACAAAATATTTCACATAACTGTCATGATGTATGGTAAGGTTTTGTTTTCGGACAAGTAAGATGAGTTAGCCTATTATATGGGCCGGTACAGGGCTTTGTGTTTTTTAATCAGCCTTGCACGTGGGTAATACTCTAGTTCTCGTGTGATAATTAATAATGCAGCTTAAAATTAGTTCTAGTTTTTCCTAAATTGCTACTTCAGAAATAAGTAGACCAGATTTATAAAACTGTAATAATTATTAAATGTAATGACCGCTGTAATAGCCATTACATGTGATTTCAAACATAAAACAAAATATCGCATATGTGTGACTATTACACTCTATTTAAACATTACCTTTTGAATCTTATTTCATAAGAAAAATTAATCTCACCTCAAAATACCTAACAATTAAAATAAATAACAGTAAAGCCTGTACATAGCAGAATGGAACTCGGAAACTAAATAAACCAATAACCACTTGTATCCAAACGTGAATCTAGATAAAAATGGACTTACGACATATATAAAATGAAAACTATTAGATGTGATGATATCATACATATGATTCAGAAGTAATATGGGCTGTAGCTTGAGTTGGTAGCAAGCGCTAATCGGTTAATACTTTCCCAAGGCTGACAAGCACGCTTTTGGTGTGGGACTTTTTCCATGCTGAACTAAGCTGTTGCTGCCTGTTTCACTTTTGTTTGTTCATTACTTTCATTCACAGCTATGAAATGAGACTAAACTTATTACTTCAATATTTTTAACGATTTCGATATTAAGATCACAAAATCTAAAGAAAGTGTAAGCTCTCGTCCATTGTTATGAAAGAAGTTGACAGGAATTAGTGCCCATAGGATTTGTTAATAAGAGAGAAGGTAATGTTTCTAAGTTATCTCCTAAGCTTGATCATCAGAGTTATAAGGAGTGAATTACTTAGTTCATATCACGTATAAATATATAATTATAGGATTTGTTAATAAGAGAGAAGGTAATGTTTCTAAGTTATCTCCTAATCTTGATCATCAGAGTTATAAGGAGTGAATTACTTAGTTCATATCACGTATAAATATATAATTATGTAAAATAGTTTCAAACACTACAATTTTTCTGAATATCACTTCAAACATAATTCAAGTTTTTATTTAGCATTGTGGAATTGAACAGAGCAATATACTTCGTGTTGCCACTGTTATGAGAATTTAGAGATAAATGTGATAAAATGGAAATTGAAAAAAAAATATTATTTTTAAGTAACTAAATAATATTTAAATTTCATTGTGACTTAACTTTAGTCACTTAACTTTAGTTCTGACTCTTTATTAGTTTTATTGATAAAATACTTTTGTAACAATAGTAATAATAAAAAGGTGGACGTAGTAATAAAAACACCAGAAAAAAGATTCCTGCTTACATTCGAATCATTTACCGATAGTATTTTAATTGAATTGACTGACACGCTCATTATTTCCATCGATTTTGTGTCTTAAAATAGTGGTGATTTTTTTATTATTATATTTCAACTCCCTTTATCATATTTACTTTTATATATTTCTTAGATATTTAGCTAAAAATTATTTTATAACATATATTATTTTCAAAAAGAAAAACTTATTAGACAAACACCTGAAAAATGGGTAGACTGCATGGAATATGTATGAATAACTGGTTTCTTTTCTCCCTTACAGATATTTTTTATTTCACTGTAAATTTAAATGTCACACAAGTACATTAGATTCTTACAGAAAATTGCAAATGGAGAACGTAATTATGACTATGCCGTTAATATTTTAAACATTCAATAATATTGGATTATGTTTATGGGCTCCTGTTTTATCACAATACGATTTTCTCAACGCCAATACTTCAGTTTGAATGAATGAACTCAGAGACGTTCCACAAAGACTGAATGGAGGCGTCTGTACTGGTGTAGCTTGAACACATGTTCACACTAGGTTTGGTTTTGTTTGTTTGTTTGTAATTAATCACAAAGCTACAAAATGGGCTATCTGTGATCTGCCCATCACGGGTATCGAAACCCGGATTCTAGCGTTGTAAGTCCGCAGACATACCGCTGTGCCACTTGGGAGCCCAGGTTTGGTTAACTTCCAGATTTATAAACTATATTTAAAAATCTCTCCCCTCATATGTATATATTAATTCAAAAAATGAACAATATTCCCTGTTTCTGAAATTAATTTTGTGACAGAATAAGAGTTCGAATCCTCCTCACACCTATTAAAACACCAAAATATTACACAAGTAAAGTGAAACTAAAAGAATAAAACGAAATAGACATAACTTAAAAAAAAACGTCTGTTGTAGTTTCGTGCCAGTGCTCAACGGGTACAATTTTATTAAGGTCCCCAGGAAGTCACGTAGCAGGTAACTATACAAACTTTGTTGAAAGAAACTTACAACCCAAAAAATATGTGAATGAAACAGACTTCGTGAACATTTTTTTTTTCAAAACTTTAACTGATATTGAGCTTAAGTTGGTATTTTCCTAACCCGAAAGTCATTGGTCTACAAATTTAATGTTCATTTTTGTTTAAAGAATGCACAGCATCTACAAGTATTATATATACACTTTATTGTCTTAAAGTAAAAAAATGTTTATCTTTGTTCTTCAAACCAATTTACTTTTGCACATCATTAAAGACGAATGCACTCGTGCAACAGAATTTTCTATCGTCTCAGTTGGTGGGACCCGGCATGGCGGGTCGCGGGTTCTAATCCCCATCCCACCAAACATGCTCACCCTGTCAGCCGTGGGGACGTTATAATGTGACGGTCAATCCCACTATTCGTTGGTAAAAGAGTAGCCCAAGAGTTGGCGGTGGGTGGTGATGACTAGCTGCCTTCCCTCTAGTTTTACACTGCTAAATTAGGGACGGCTAGCGCAGATAGCCCTCGTGTAGCTTTGCGCGAAATTCAAAACAAACAAACAGACAGAATAACAATAAGTATATGTGTACATTTTTAAACAACTATCACATCCATCAAAGTGATAGTTTTAGTGAAGAATATCTTTTGCTCTTTAAGAATTTTCACGCAAGGCTATCCTTAATTTTTACCTCGTAAACTAGATGCAATGCAGATAGACGATAGCAGCCACCGCCAACTCTTGGGCTACTTTTGTCTGACCGAGTAGTGTGACTTGTTCGTCACTCTTATACCGCAACCCTAGCCCCAAAGGGCGCAGAGCGTTTTGGTGGCAATACGACGCGATTCATAATTCCTCTGGATTACATTCTGAGTATGCTAGCCACTAGGACAAGGCCGGCTCATTAAAAATATAAAATATCCTTGAAAACAAATACAAATATAATATTTAAAAGCAAACAACCTTCAAATCGAGAAACTTGTGTAAGGCTGCAGAAAAGTATATCCAAAGGTATCTTGAGAAGTAAGTGATAAACTGTATATATTTTTTCTTAAAGTAACAATCATTTTAAATCTGAGCAAAAGTCTTCATAGTAAAGTGTTGACTAGATTATTTGAAACACATCAAACTGATATTGTGTTACGCAATGGAACATACGCTTTTAAGTACCATATGAATGATGCAGAGAGAACGCACTTTTTAAAGAGAAAGTGTTGTGACGTCATCATACACTACTATGAAAGAGTAACTAAATAACTGCTAAAAAAAAGCAGAAACTAAACAATAACACTAAGAATTTAAGTTAAAGGTAAAATAAAATTAGCATAAGTCGGTATTATTAATACTAATAGTATTAATAATAGTATGAGGGAAGGGCGCTTCGACTTGAAATCTGAAGATCGCGGGTTCGAATCCCCGTTTCACCATATATGCTAATCCTTCTCAGCCACTGTTTGTTAGTAAAAGAGTAGCCCAAGAATTGGAGGTGGGTGGTGATGACTAATTATCTTCCATCTAGTCTTTCACTACCAATTTAGGGTCGGCTACCGCAGATAGCCCTCTTGTAGCTTTGCGCGAAAATGAAACAAGTATGAAATAAAATTACGAATTAGTATGGTCAATAATATTTAAGATCCCTGTCAGTCAGAAACCCGCCCAAAATTAGTTTTTTCGTCGGAAAAAATCAAAAAAAATCAGCTGTTTCGAAATCAGTTTTCATTTTTTTCGCGGCACAAGTTACGAGAAGGCCAGGACCATATGAAGAACATAAATACAAAAAGAAAGGCAGTTGGAAAACCTGTGAAATGTGTTTTCATTGTGATCGGGGGATATATGTACAACAAAACATTGCCCTTGTTGTCCCCCAAAATAAACGTGTAGTAGTTCAAAAGATCTAAAAGCCAGTAAAAAAGAAAAGGATGGCCAGACGATCAAAGATAATCAATAGAGTCTCATTGATATATTAGATTGCAGCTCAGATGATGAATCGTTCTCTAATGATGGAATAGGCTCTTCCGGTAGTGCACTGACAAACTGAAGAAACTTTGTGCAATCTTGAACATTGAGCAGATTTCACTCAGTGATTTTCCAAAGAATGGTATCAAAGATAAAAACTAGTTGAGCCTGGGAGAACACAATTGAGAGCTTTACAATTGTGTCGTTTTGTGCGTAATGGAGTTCTAGAGTTAGAATGTCCATCTGATACATAAATGTTGCAGGGATATCCTGTAGATCCAAAACGAATGGTAATGTATGCTGAAAAGAATGTTTCGTTACAAGAGTTGGACACTGAGATTGAAGACGTACTAAAAGAAAACTAAAATCATGTAATTGTGTATTGAAATTGATTAATAACATCATTAGAACTAAAATAACTAATATTTGCTAAAATAAAAGCATTCCGAATCGTTCCTTTGATTTTCTGGGAAGTCGGGAGGTAGCCGATCGTTTTCGCCTATTTCTCCTCGACCAGAAAGGATTTTTAAATTCTGTAAATTGCTCTCGCCTCTTTAGACCATTCCGCACCTATTGCGCACTTTCTTCGTTAATTTTTAAAGTGCGCATGGCAGCCCCAAGGGTGGGTTTGTCGCTGACCGGGATCTTAAGATATTAGACATTTAGTGTTGCCCTATAGTGATTTCATTTTATTGAAACATCACTACAGTGTGTAGCTTATAATCAGCAATAAAAACATATTCTTGCAACTGTTTATTATATCTCCAATATTTTCTATATTAGGTAATTTTGTGTGTATATAACATTCTGAGTATGCTAGCCACTAGGACACGCTCGGCTCATTAAGAATGTAAAATATCCTTGAAAACATGTTATAAATACGCCTACCATATTTAAAAAGCAAACAATCCTCTAAAACATTAAGGTAACATACAATTGTTTTTCGGCTTCTCTAAGATTGCTTGGGCGATATTTTACCTGCTCAAAGTGTTGAAGGGTCGTGTATATATATAATATCAAACTCTATACTGATTTTCAGTGATATGTTACTTCTGATCTTTCTGTGTATTTAAAGAGGTTCTATCCTTCCGCTACTCAAGATACAGCTGGGAGCTTGTGGAGTTCGCCTTCTATGACCTGAATCCATCAACACTTGCAGAAATAGTATAAATAAATCTTGCAGTCTCGGCGAAGTAGCAGTTTTGTGTATTAATGTAGGTCGTGTCCTTGGTCATGCTCCTTTCATCAAACGTACAACGTACCCATATCCCAGCCTTGTGAGCGCTATTTATTCAGTAACATTATAGTTCTAATCATCTCCTCTAAAGAACGACTAACCTGTGTAACAAGCAGTTTCGTAGCATTCAAGAACAACGTAATTAATTGAGATATTTCTAGAAGAAAGTCTTATTTTCACTCTGGAATAAAGAATACGAATTTGCAACGTGTGTAGCTGTTATATCCTTCTTCGGAAAGTATAAGGTGACGGTGTCGTTTCTGACACTGCAGTTAAAAACAAACAAAAAATCCTAGCAGTTTTCTTTTGGGTTGATATCCGTCGTCTCCAAATTTAGTGCATTTATTGTACTGAGAACGGTGTTCAATAGACATTTGATTTTCGGTGTCTCTGAGGTTGCTAGGTGATATATTACTTGCCCAAAGTGTTCAAGACTCGTGCATGATATATCGTAATCTCACTGTTTGGTATTCGTGGAAGATGTTACATTTAATCCCACTATTTAGTATTCGTGGAAGGTATCTCTCGTAATCACAACGTTCAGTATTTCCGGAATAAATGTGTTGCAATCGCAACGTTCAGTCTTCGTGGAAGATATTTGACTTTTTTATTGTCGAAAAATATCTTAGTCATAGTATTCAGTGTTCCTGGAAGGTGTTTCTCAACGACAGTATTTAGTGTTCTTGAGGTAGATGTAGTTTTAATCAAGATGGGATGTCTTGTATTATATATGTCGTTATCACAGTTGGTTTTTGGGGGCATTTTAGTGATATGTATCAGTCGCAGAGTACATTGAGGATAATATAACTTCAGCATCCTGACTTTACTTGTGGTGTTCGAAATCATTTATATTTCGAGTAGATTAAGTGCTTAAAATTATCACAGTAAAAAAGAAAGTTGATAAATATGTATGTTTACATCACATTTATATTTTTTTTTGTATAAATTAATCACATTATATGGGGATGGAAATTTAATAAAACGATTTAAGCACTACTATCAAAATTTCATTAGAATGAAACCGAGTCTATAGAAAACATTTTCCCTTACGATATTCAACTAATCAAGTTCAACTCAGCTATTCATTAAACTACTGCCTTTCTTGCGTTTTACCATATATCTCTACATGAAATGAAAGATGAATCATCTGAATCTTTTTGTACATTGAAATAAAACTAAAGAGACAGATAAGTAGAAATAGCTCGTCACTCGTCCCTTGTCACATGAGCGTCAAAAACAATATAAATATAAAGTTGTATGTAGTTCTTTGAACACTAGAAAAGAAAGAAGTTTGGAAATGGGATCTTGTCAGTCATAATACTACCACTCAGTTGAACAGTTAGTAGTTTCTTTTCTTGGGTGACTCACTTCCTGCTATAGTATAAAAGAAACTAAAATATATTCAATTTGGTATATATATGTATAGCACATTCAATTTATATTCGTGTTGGTGTGTTTAACGGACTACAGTCCACCATGCCATCCCAAATTTTGTAACATAAAACTCGGATGTGAAAGAGTGTAATTTTTTGTTTTTTGGCTAATTAAAACTGAGTATAAAGGAGATGAATTAATCTTCCTATAAATGGTAGAGACACGAGGAACTGTTAGTTTGAGGTATAATTTTACAGCTTCGTAAATCGGTTCTGTTATTATCAGAATATAGGGTGGTTTAATGTTTGGCATGATATGTAAAGTTATTAACATATGTTTGTGACACAAGGAAACACTTTTTTTTATATTTTATTTTGAATTGTCACTTTTCATTCATTTGTGGATATATATTAGGTCATCAAGAAATTAATGTCGCGTTTTCGAAAACTTTTATTACTCCCCCCCCCCCAAAAAAAAACATACATCACGTATAATACTTAAACGAAACGCCTAATCGTCACATTAGTGTAGCCTATATGATGTGTAAAATTTAGTATACTCTAATCCCTTATAGTGATGGCACACGACGAAATACACATTTGGCATATAATGCTGTTTGAATACAAGAAGGGAAACAACGTCTCTGTAGCCACAAAGAATACCAAAAAGTTTATGGAAATGTTATGAACGTTCGTAAGTGTCGACGATGATTCAGTAAATTTCATTCTGGTGACCTTAGCCTTAGAAACTGTGATGGCAGGGGCAGACATGTTGGAATTGATATTCATGCCCTGAAGACGCTTGTTGAGTCTAACCCAAGGCAACACACTCGTTAAATGGCCCTGAAATTGCATGTCTCTCATGAAACAATGCGTAAACATTTAAGGAGTATGGGAAAACTCCGTAAAAAAGGTGTTTGGGTGCCTCACGAACTATCCGATGATCATCGTTTCCAACTTGTGAACGTTGCTTCGTCTATTCTGGCGCGTAATGCGCGTG